AATAGTAACCATAGAAACTATCAAATCCACGATACGTTGGGGTGTATTCCTTTGCAAAAAATCCCAGATGCCACTGTAATGAAAAACTAACACATTATATCATTTGTCAAAATGTATATACTGGTATATTAATGTTCCAAAAGCTACAGTAACTACAAAGCATACTATTGGTCACATGCTACCTTGCCAACCATATGTGTAATATCCTAGTGGCTTCAGATATTCAGCCATTGTTGTCTCATTTGGGCGCAACCCATAGGGCTGAGGAGCAACGATAACACTGTGTTGAAGACCTGCAAGAAAGATATATTATTAGGAAAGGCATTTAGACATTGCTACCAACCACAGTAAATTAAAGTAAATCTTCATTACCGTCATAACATTTAATACATTTTATGTTTTTAAAGTTTTCTGGCTACATAACAACATAATGCTTTAGATGAAAGAGCTCCACAAAGGCAGGAGAATGGGATTTACAGTTTTCATTCTCTAGATATTCAACTTTCCATCTTCATTCTTGACGACAACTGTTGTGGAAAAATTGAAATGATTTCATCTATAACCTCTGAAGTAAATAAATGAGTTGAAAGTTTAGAGCATGGTAGCATACTAGTGCCATCAAGACATATACATGTATAATGGTTATCATGGTAACATAACTAAAATATTCATTTTAGTTTTTTTTACACCAAACGCTCTATTCTTCATATGTTTCATACATTTTATTTTTGAGATATACAGGTTATATTTTACTTTCAACTACAAAATTAACCATTTTTCCTTTATTATAATTACCGGTATACTAAAAACCAGTTATGGATGAAATCATTTTCTTAATTTTCTTTGCAGAACTTACCTCCACTCAAAGTTTATAATGGTCTGAATTTTCAGAGCAAAGGAACATTTCATTAATCTTATTGGCACATATATGTAAATATTTGTCTGAAAAGAGGCAGTATTAGACTTTAATCCCACGAATTGTGAGCGTTATATTTTGTTAAAGCTATATTTCATCAGATTAGAGTGACAAGAAGGGCTGAATATGCCCTTTTACACCAACTGACCAGTATGTATGGGATGTCTTCCTGTCATGAGAGCACTTCTTGTTGGTGTACAAATTGGTTGTACATAGTAGTTATGTAATAATACACCACTGTAAGCCAACTCATCAATGTTTGGAGTTGGAATCTGATCAGAACCATGGAAACTAACATCATCCCATCCCTGCAGAGAAAAAGTATAGCTAAATCTACCATTTAGGGCATTAAAAAAGGTAAACAATACTGAAGGTACCGTACTAGTACTGGAAAATAATACTCACCAAGTCATCAGCTAGTATAACAATGATATGAGGTTGACGAGAAAAAGCATCACAGGTTACCCATAATGCAACGCAGCACAACAACTGTTGAGTGATGAAATCAGCCATATTAAACTGTGATACACTTGTATGTAGCCTATAGGTCTTGTTGGTATTCCGGATGACTGATAGAAGACATCTGTATGGTTGAAACAATAAGCAACAACTGAAAATATAACCAGTTATTCTCTTTCTTCCTAACCAGCAGTAGTAAAACTGATATCAGCTTACCATAAGAAACTTACAATTCAACTACAACATTGCTATTTGTTTACAAAACAATGAGCTAATATGCAATGTCGCTGATTGGGTTGCCTTTTCATTCAGAGTAATCATAATACCGGTACTTCTGGTTGTGTTTGCTAAAGGGCAGCTGGTCATCACAGCATTTATACACCACCTTTCCTTGCCTATCTGGTAACTAATAATATAAGGCATGTTTATAAACCTAACTGGGGCCTAAAATATTTATTAATTAATAAATGTATAAGTTGTATCATAATTCAAAGGTGGAATTGCTTTAATGTGTAGCAGTGAAAATAGAACAAAGTTATTTGCTCTAGTACTGCATACATTCATTCATGAAGAAGATGTTTTATAGTTACAATTTGTCATATTTTAAGGAGGGGCGGCAAGCGGTATATTCGTTTTTATTTTCGTAATAATGTAATTTAAATAAATAAAAAACGTAAATTCGTAGACATGGGCAAGGTGTAAAATATAATCAGCTATTTTATTCGTAATTTGTACAAAGACCTTATTTTTTGGAAGTGTATAAAGCATTTTCCACATTAAAAGTCATAAGTCGTATGTAATTTCTAATTTTGATTCTTAAACACAAATCATATTATAAAAACATATTATAAAAATATAAAATGTAATTAGGAATTTGCTTTATCTGTAAAACCTATTTTTATTGTAAATAGAACTTTCATTTTATTTTCTGGAAAAAATGTAAAATGCCATTTTTATTTCCCGTATTCTGTACCAGCTACACCCCTTGCCCTTTAAGGGGTGGATAAATATTGGAAAAATTAAAAAGGCAATAGATTAGTTGATAGATTACAATTAACAATAATATCCAATAATTCCATGGTGCTATCCCAAGAATTCCTGACTTTCAAGTTCCTAATGGCTGCTCATTTGCATAACTATTTCGCACTGCAAGTTGGGTTGATTTTGAATGATCACAGAGGCAAACTTCACAAATTTGGTATAACTTGCAGTAGTACACAAAAGGGGAAGCTTATTGAAATTGATGATAAACTAAATGTTCGCCTCTAGAAGCCTGCTGATCATGAATTATTGAACAAGCACAATCTTACTTTTTTCACAAAATACTGAAAACAAAATCATACCAATAATAATTGTTACAAACTGTATGTGTAATACAAAGATATTAGGATCTTTCATTGTTGTGTTTTCTAATTACATTTAGCCATCATATTTTCATTACAATAAAGATGCACATCTTTCTTATGCTTTCTAGTATATGGCAGAATGACAAATATCGATCAAAAAGCAGACCCTCAATATCAAAACCATGATAAGCCATGATTGATTTCACCTGACTCAGCTACCGGGTAGTTCGAAAAAACCAATGCTCATTCTAATAAATTAGCCGGCTAAATTGCCATCCCATAACTTGGATACAAATGTAATTGTCAGACATTTATATGGGATGTTGGAGTAGACCGATTCTGAATAAATAAAAAAATCAGTACAATCAATAATATACCTGGTCTTGATACTGTAAATGACAGCAGCACATGTTTGTTTATTTGGGTGCGAATAGGTCAGGGAAGAGTTTGAAAAAAAAAATAGCTGCCATATTGGTTATCCAGATAGTAAAGACTTGAGTCTGCCCATTGTCTCCTACAACATGTAGAGAACAAATATGTGCTGGGCTTCCAGTCATTATCTTGCCAAATCAAAGCAATCCAATTTCATCTAAGAGAGGTGGGGAGGGGGCATGGAAAGTAACCTCTGAAAGTCTGGGATATTTCGCCAGATTTTTATATTTTCTTGATTGCACTGAAAGTACAGCAATTAAGGAGCATTGCATTTGATATGGTCTGTAGGCCCAAATCCAGAAATAATACACTTGTCGTGCAATGCAAAAGAAAAACGCTGAACACCTCTATCATTCAGGTACTTTGATGAAAATTAATGATGTGCATCAAGGACCCATTATGTTCAATGGAGATAGCTTTGAATGATATTTGTCCATGTCCAGTCACGGAATGGCAGAAATTTTGATTAGTTTGTAGTACAACTGTATTTATCTGAAATATTGTCAGGGAAAAGGTGGAAAAGCCAAGACAATTTAAAATAATGTTCGAAATAAAACAGTATTTACTTATATGTCAATTTATTTATTCATTTATTTAATTACAAGAAATAAATTACAGGGTAATATTAAAGCAGCAATTAGCTATCAATCTTTTTCCTCCGAGTTTTATTTTTAATACAAATTTCCTGTGTCAATACCAAGTACCAACATATATTGATGTTGTACATTAAATCACTTGCACCAACTATTGAAATCCAGTTTTGTGAAACAAACCTCAGAGATTAAAGTACAAGACACTGTACAACTTACCAGAGACCCTGGGTGAAAGCATGTCAAGTACGTCACAATCTTAAGAGGCCAAGCCACTGTCTGATGGCAGATTTCAAAGATGATGACTACTCAACCGCATTTTATGTGATATAGCCTTGTTTAAGGTCACTTATGTCCATCCAATATTGTGTCTAATACACTTAGTGACTATTTTAGTGAGATTTAGTCATCTATATGCGAGTTATATTCAAACCAAATAAATTTCACAGCTATTGTCACTTTAACAATTTTTTTAATTTCTGACCACTCTTGAAAACCAAAAATACAATACAGCAAGATAACGCTTATTTGTTTGTTTTTTAAGAGAGATAATACATGTAATTAATTTTATATAAATATCTCAAATCTGCAGATAACAAAAGGCCTCTAATATGAACTTTATATCTGACACTCTAAAAAAAAAAAAAAAAGCACTTGCAGAAAGCAAATATTGTTGATGTTTTGTTTTGTTTTTCCAAAAGTGTGTTGTTGATCATTATGCAATAAAGTTGTTGTTGTTGTTGATTCGACCTTTCTCTGACCCTAAAATCAGATAGTGTGCAAATATAGGCAATGAAACAAAATCAAAATATTATTGCAACAGCTATCAGATATACATCTGTACACAGTCCCTTTATAGTAATAGAAGGACTGTGATCTGTATTAACTCACCTATCCTCACGTGAAAATCTTTTTATTCGGCACCCTACCTCAGTCAGCAACAGTTTGGCCGATCTAAGATTTCACCTGTTCAGAAAGTGCTCAGGTGGAAAGTGCTGTTGTTGATCATGTGTTTTGTCACGTGGGGCATATTCGAACCTCGTTCGCTGATATTTATAAACCCAAACGCCATGTAATAGTTTTTGAAAAGATATGATTTTAAAAATTCCGATAGTTTAAATTGTATTAACTCGAAAAATTTAAAAAGTTCATCTCAAAAAGTTGTTTTTTTCTGCACAAATCGTCGCCAATTTAGCGCCCTCGATTTGAAGCCGCGTTGGCTGATGGGATTGGGGAGTTCTTAGTTGAGTAGTTCCATCATGGCGGACGCTGTGGACATTGATTTGTACGCCGACGACTTGGAACAAGAATTCAATCAGGTAAATAACGCACACACATGTTAATTTGCACTATGCAGGACTGATCTTGATGCTTTCAAATATCTGGGTAGTAGATTTTCTTGGCTTCTATATCGAAAATTCTTGCGCAAAACCATCATAAATACGAGACGTGTTTGCTCGAAATTATTTGTGAGCGGCGTGCTTGGCTAAGAATGAATGGTTGTTGTGTGAATCCCCTTTGTATTCAGTGCTTTACTGTGCTGTGCAGTGCACGTATGATGGTATGTATGTTACAGGCGTCACCGTCTGCTGTTTAATCATAGTTTCTTGTATTATAATACTAGTCAAGATGCAAACGAAATATCGGACCACATTCAGCTATTATATAAAAATCCTAACTACTATTATTTCCATACCAGAGTCAATGCAGTTGTGCATTGTCGTTTGGGGTATTTTTCTTTTTCTCGCCTGTAACATTTAGTAATAATTAGCAAGTACTCTTCAGTGCAGTTTGTTATTTTGCAGTGCTTTCGTTTTTAGCGAATTAATAGGATATCCAAATTATCAATTGAACTAGATTCGATAATGCCTTATTCAGTGTCACCCAATAATAGCATTCTGATGCCTGTCTGTTGATATTTTGGAGTAAAAATGGTTACAAAATTTTAGATGGCGTGTGTGGTGCACAGTTTGTTATGAGAAAGCAACATTATTTTTTAAACAAATAACTTGTCATGCCCTCAAAAAATCATAGTCTTACTGTAACTTCCGGAATAAGTTCTTTGCAATCATCAAGTTTCCCAAGGTGTCTGAAGATTCCCAAAACTGATGATAGTATTGTGTGTTATTCTGATTTGTTAATGACGTTTATGTCAAAGGGTAACATGTGGTAAAAAAACATGGCAGATTGCTGCATTTGTTCCAAAACAACAAAACACTTTAAGTTTACTGTATTAGTTGGATTTTCCACCCATCCAAAACATCACAATGGGCATGGGCAGTGTTTCAGCAGGTGGGCAAACTTAGGTTGCAATACAATCATTTTTTTTATGCTGTCAATTTATTCACAGAAAATATCTAATTTTGATATTATCAGATTTGCCATAGATTAATTTACTCAATCCACTTGCATTAAAGGAGCTTTGTAAATAAAGAGATAAAGCAGTGTCCTCCCAGACCTTGTGTCAAGTATTATGATTACTTTGCATAACAATGCATCTAATTTGCTTAATATAGTTTCCCACAACAGACATTGTGACACAAGTCAATATAATTGTTATAAAATAATATTATTACATACTGTGTTTTCTCCAGCTTTGTATTATAAGAAGGGATTGTCACCCCTTCAGATCAAAATAGAGGGGGGTTTTCTTTAACAAGGGGGGAATTTCTAATGAGCATAAATTTGCTTATTATAACATGGGCAGTGAATTTTTATTATGGTCTCCACTGTTGGCAGTTATATTCTACATTTTGTGTTTTTAAAAAGAACGTAGTTTGCAGATAGAAAAATTATAGTTGACGCAATAATTTCATTATTACAATAATATTAATAACATTCTGCACATCAAATTTCACCTTCTACTAACTAGGATGGTTGAGCAGATGATACAGCAAAGCCTCTTATCAATTTTGGAGCTAAATCCTCTCTCACAGTTTGCTGTATTTACAGGCAAAACAACAGCTGTCTTTGCCAAAGTTATTAAATTTGGCACTGTGGCCTTATGGTTGGTGTTGATCAATTTCCGCAGTGAAGTATAGTTGTCACGGGGTTTCGTCTGAATTGATAAGAGCTTTGTATATGTGACCCTCCTTGCTTACTTTATCAATGCCATAATGTACAATCAGAGTCTTAATTTATCATTGCCGTGATCTAACAATTGGTCGGCGGGTACGAAAGAGATGTGACGCATTGTAAAGACATCCAATTCAGTAATAATGCTGGTACTTACTGTCTTCCAGGAAGCGTGTATTTATGTTGTCTATTTAATTATTGATAAACTCATACTTCATGTTGATAACAGTGCCAATTTGTTTTGTTTTGTTCTATTTCTCATATTAAAGCTGTGAACCAGTCATCGTTGATTTTGATCTCGTCTTCGAACTTAGTTCTCCTCTAAGTATTGCTTCAGTTGCTCGATGGATGCTTTGACACAGCTTCACAGTGACAATGTCAATCTCATCTTTCTGGAACACTAGGTTAAGACGAGTAATGAATAGGGATAATGTCCATCAAAATATGTGCAACTGTGACAAACTTATATTGTGTTAATTTGTCACGCAGACAGACTGTTTTGGGGTTTTTGGTTTTGTTCTACATATTGAAAAATGATATCTATGCATTCCCGGAATGATACTATCTGCAACACATCATAAAATGCAAACCATTGTATTTTGTGAATTTCCTTCAATTTGAGTTGTGGGCTTTCCAGGATTATTTCATTCTCTCTTTATCGAATCTGCACAAGCCTGTTGCAATTCCTCGGCTGTTGTATGTGATCAATGAGATGTGTTGCATTACATTAAGACTCTTTGCATGCTCACAGCCGCTGGTGTCTAACAAATCTAATAAACTTGTATACTTATCAGTTGATATGGCTTCTTTCGCTAGCAGATTTCATTGCAACAACCACTGCATCTTGTTTTTCTGTAATAACATTCAACAGTTTACATATCTGAACGGATTGTGATGTCCAGCAAAGCTTCCTGTTAGGTGCTGGCAGCAAGTCGCATCAGTTCATGTCTTAGTTACTGCAGTGCTTAAGAATGGCATGGTTTTGCCAGCTTTCTCTGCTGATTCGGAAGACCATTCCAAACTCGGCATGTGGTTTTTCCAACCATGAGTATAACACCATTCAGCTATCTTTTTTATTTATCCAGCTATTTGGGGGGGGGGCTGTTGTGGTGTCACCGACATAACATTTCGAAATTCCCTGGTTTTGATCGGGATCAGATGATGTGCTTGGTAAATTCTGAATGGCATCTTCGGGTTCAGTCATTGTGCTTGGCAAATTCTGAATGACATTGTTGCTAGTACTCTAAGTAGTGGCTGCACTCTCAGAATTGTTTTTTGGCTCACCTTTTTTGCCAAAAAAACTTGCAATCAAATTACACGACCTCTTGAACTTCATTTTTAGGTGCTATTTTGGCAGATACGTTTTTGCCGCATACACCACTCAAAATTAATCCATTGTTTGGCTGATTCGTTATGCATATGCAAAGTGGGTTTTAACTAATTGATTTGCTTCAAGACCACTAATGAATAGAATACAAATGGAAATTATTTTTATCTTGTGCTCTATTTGATGGAATCCTTTTTTAGTCAATTCATTAAATAGTGATTTGTTTTTTTCGGGTGAAAATAGACACATTCAGACATAACAGTAAATCAATCTACATCAGTAAATCTCTACCCATGCTGCGTTCACCATGAAGTCGCTGAACTGACATTAACATATTTAAATGAGCTATGGTAATTCGAACACAATGGCACATTTTGATTGGTTAATTAGCGACTTAACCTACATAGATCAGGTCAAAGAACAGTTTCAGGTCAAATCATATCGCATCAAGCATTTACATGTGATCGTAATCATTTACTTGCGATGAAACTAAGTTGAATTTTACTTGCATTTCATAACAATTCAATGAATTTATTTTTTGTACTAATCAACAATTGTAACACTTTGAAAACAAGTAAGTTATTCACTTGTGAAACGCAGCATGAACGGATTGCGCTGTGCAACAGTAATATTGCTACTAAGCAATTCATATACTTTTTCGTTATCACAAAATTAAAAAAAAAGCATTATTACATTAAATACTCAGTACTTGTTATCATGTAAATAGTTTTTTCATGATGCCTATTTTAGAACCAAATTAGAGTGACATCTATTAAAGAGATTATATGGTAGACACACTCCCCCAAAAAACATAATGCAAGCTCATTGTTGAATTAATTGAGCTGCATCTGAGAGTTTGAGCTTGTACTGACAGTGTCAAAGACGTGAATTCACGCTTCAGCCCACTTGTTGCATCCATATATAGTAGCTATGAACTTTCAAACTTTCAACAACATGGCGCCTGTC